GGTGTTGGCCGACAACGGCGATGCCATTGGTGTTCGTACGTGCCTACCCCATTGCCCGCCCCCCCTTCAGATAAGAAAGCCCTCCACGCCGACGCTGACTGCCATCTGCAGAATACTCCAACAACGTCTGGATCGACCACTGCGACGTCTCCTCCGACCGCGACCACGACAAGGACTACTACGACGGTCTGATCGACGTCACTCACGGTTCCGACTACGTGACCATCTCCAACACCTTCCTCCACGACCACTGGAAGGCCTCGCTGGTGGGCCACTCGGACAGCAACGCCGATGAGGACACCGGCCACCTGACCGTGACCTACGCCAACAACTACTGGTACAACATCAACTCGCGCGGCCCCTCCTTCCGCTTCGGCACCGGCCACATCTACAACAGCTACTACCTCGATGTCAGCGACGGCATCAACACCCGCGACGGCGCCCAGCTGCTGGTCGAGTCCAACGTCTTCAGCGGCTCCAAGAAGCCCCTCTACTCGACCGACAGCGGTTACGCCGTCGCCAACGACAACGACTTCGGCGATGGCGAGAATGCCGCCGACAAGGGTACTTTGACTTCCGTGCCGTACAGCTACACTCTGCTCGGCTCGAGCAAGGTTAAGAGTGCTGTTGTGGGCACGGCCGGACAGACTCTTACTTTCTAAGCTTGACTAGCTTGCTAAGCTTAGCTTCGCTTTGCCGGATGAGGGGGGTAGTGAGGGGGTAGTGGATGGTGGTGGTGGTGGTGGTGGTGGTGGTGGTGGTTTGTCATTCGTTTAATTTCCTAACGGGTTCTGATTTCTCAGGGCCTTTTCTTTATCCAATTGAGTTGGTATTGGTGATCCTTGGTTCCTCGGTCTTTCGTAGAGATGGGCAGATGTAGTCGTCACCGCTGGCGCCAAGAATGTTCGATCCGGACAATGTGAAACTGCCATGGCCTCGCCAAGGGCTTGTTGGGGCCCCACTGGCACCCGCGCTCGGGCCAGCTGTCCCGCATGGTTCGTTTAATCTTCGGCAATTGAGGCCCTGGGTTGTGTAGGTATGCGGCTGTGAAGATGTCGGGGTAGTGTTAAATGAGATGTGTTTCAGGTACCGCTGCAACATGGCAGCCGAATGACCTGTCATGACGGAGACACATCCCATAGCTGAAAATCCATAGACTGCACCCCTTGCATTAGTGAGATGAGTCCACCAGGGTAGACCACATGGTATTGATATGTTAATGGGTATAGCAAAGTCCCCAGTCCCTTCAATTCCAAAACCAGCACATCTCCTTCCGTTCCTCCAGACAACATCTAATGCCGACTACCCAAATCCCCTTTCCACACTCAGCCCACCCCAAACCAACCCCCCTAAGCGCCCTGGACCGCCCCATCCAACTTCACCACCCAAACCCTCGTCTCCCCCATCAAGAACATCTCCCCAGCCTCCCCAAACACAAAATTCGCCACCCCCCCCTCGACCCTAATCTTCCCCAACAACACCCCGCCCGCCGACCAAACATTCACCCCATCCCCGCACCCGGCATACACATTCCCGTGAATATCCACCTTAATCCCATCGGGCACGCCCTTATCCGCCATCGCAAACACCCGCCGGTTCACCAGAAACGGCTCCCCGTTGATCGCCGTGACATCGAAAGCGTATCTACGCCAGCATAGTTAGCCACCCACCGGGTCTACTGTCACACCCCCGGCTTCCGGCCCCCGACCCCCGACCCCCGACCCCCGACCCCCACAACCCCTTCCACAGCTAACCCCCACGAACAAAACAAGACAAGGGAACAAACATACATAGTGGCCGCCCTGGTCAAATCCACCGTGCCATCGCCGCGCGCCGCCCCGGTATCCGTAACGTACACCGTGCGGCCCCCGGGCGCAAAGCAGATGCCATTCGGCTTGTCGAACCCGTCCGCGACCACGCGGACCGCTTTGGTGGCGGGGTCGTAGCGGTACACCTGGTTCGGGAGCCGGGGGGCCGTCTCCGCACCCCGCAGACCCTGGATGTAGGCGTAATCCGGGTCGGTGAAGTAGATGCTCCCGTCGGCGGGGTGGATGGCGACGTCGTTGGGGGAGTTGAACGGTCTGGATTGGAAACTGGTGAGTAAGGGGCTGCTGGTGTAGTTGCTGTTGCTGTTGGTTAGGGAGAGGGTGTAGAGGCCTGCCGGGCGGGTGGGGTCCTCGTCTCCTTGGCCGCAGAAGACGATTTCGTGGTTGTTGTTGTAGGCGTGGCCGCCGTTGGGGTTGGGGATGGCCGGGGTGGGCGTGATGAGTTGGGCGGTGAGGGGGCGCGGGTCGTCGAGGCTGAGCTTCGAGATTTGTATGGTGCTGGTGTTGGTGTGCGGGTCCGTGAGGATGTTGCTGGTCATGTACAGGGTTCGCGGTTGGGGGATGTAGATCGGGGCTTCGTGGGCGAAGGCGGTGGTTGTGTTGTGGTTTGTGGTCAGGATGCTGAGGGTGGGGTGCAGGCCGGTTAGGTTGAGGAAGTCCGGGTTGTGGACCTCGAAGGCTGCGGGGAGGGACGCTGCTGGTGTCCAGGTGGGGGTGAGTGCGGTGGTGGTCATTTTGGTGGTGGTGGTGGTGGTTGCGGATGTAGGAGTGTGGATGGCCGTGCGGTTGCCCTTGCTTTATTTATCGTTTGGAGGCAGTCCATGTGGTTGAGGCATGATGTAAGGGGCGTGTTGATCATTTGCTTGCGTCGGACAAGGTTTTCCACATTCCACAAGTACTGCCAAAGTCCAAACTACCACTGGGGCCACTGCGTTGTCCTGCATTGCCTGTTTCGGGCCGCTTTAGACCCCCCATTAAGGGCCAAGATTGATTAGGGTTGTGTTGCATATCTGACCTGCGGCCACTTTGGGGGAGGATCGCCGATCCATGGCGGGTGGTCTCACCGAGGTTTCCCCGGTGCGGAATTATTGGCGTGCAAGATGGACTTGGGAAAACCGTTGAAAACTTGTACCCTACGAGTATTGATCTCCTTGTCTCGCTAGTCTCGCTAGTCTCGTCTTTTTGAGTAGTCACAGAGGCACAGCGATAGTCGAATGTAATCGGCTGACATGGAGGGATATCTGGGCTAGTTCGGAATCCTATTCCGAGGACGATAACCAGTTCCGGCCCCCATTGCACTCCCTTTTGCAGAGCCCGATCGACTAAGCCGTTTCACTAGCTAGATTAAGCATTGCTGTCATATTTGAAGCTTCGCCGTCTGGTTTTATTGCTTTCCACAGATCGGTCGTTCGTAAACACATACTGCATGTTCATCATATATAATAGATCTCCGTACGGAATTCATGTTATATGGATCACAATGTACCCACGGAACACTGAGATCCACCAAGTCATGTTCACCAGCATCTCCTATCAGTATATAGACTAATTCGATGCATATGGCAAGACAGAAGAATACTTAGCCATGCTGTGTAATTCGAGTCCCTGTCCAGCTCATCTGGACGTGTGCTGTGTTTGGAGATCGGATTTACACTCTCACCGGACCGACATCTCTATACCTCGATCTTTCAGGGTAGTGAAAAAGAAAAATTGCACAGGGCAAATGGACAGTAGGTTTCCCGAATGCGGAGAGCAAATGCTAAGCTCGAGAGCTCCCCACTCCTCACTGCCTACGCCCACACTATGACTGTAGGCTACCTTATTTCACGGTCTTGCATAATCCCTCGCCTGCGAGCTTATCAGACCACACAGGGAAGAGACCCTTGATCCGCGATGCATGACACCTCCATCCGACTGCGCGATGGGGAATAATAGCTGGGCCGTGGAGCATGATATCATTCCAAAAGATAGAAAGAACAAAAGCACCGCAAAGAAACGCGCACCCCCGTACTTCCATTTCCATTGACAATACCAGCCAGAAAATGAGTGAAAAGCAGATAGCTAGCAACGAACTATCCCGAAAAAAGCTCACAGCACTCGTTTCCCCATGGCCTAGAGCTCAAGTCCCGACCATTTAGTGCACACACTGCCGACCATGGCCTAAAGGACACCCGTCATTGTACCTCCACCTCTGGCCTCCTAACCAGCCACCACCTCACACCAGCGGATTACACCACCCGCCACCAGCGCAGCGGAACCTCTCGCACACTGGTCCAGTCCCACCCCTTCGCTCGCCAGGTAATACAAGCACTACGCCAGTGTCCCAGCCCGCAATCGGCGGAGCTAGCGCATACAAGCAAGCCCTGCCTATCCCTCCTCCACGCGAGCTATCTCCCCACCTCAAGCCATGGGATGCGTGGCCCAGCCTGGGTTCCCGGAAATGACTTTCCTTGGGGTCCAGCACAACGGCAACTCGTTCTCATGTGATATAGACCCGGGCGACAGACTGAAAGAAAAAAAAGGTACGTATCGAAAAGCCAGGATTGGGATCCTGGTTTAGTGCTAACTTGCTAAGTGTTGAGTGTCGCTTAGCGTGCCCCCCTCTCCTCTCCCCTGTCAGCTTTTAGTGGGAGTGGCGTTGTGGGTTCGGGTCTGGACATGCCGACACGGACACTGGACACTGGATAGGGGAGGATGCGCTTTGCGGTTAATTTCTGCAAGGGAAAGGTGTTTGAGGTGTTCTTGGGGGGATTATGGGAGCTTTGTTCATGGGTTGGGAAATATGATAATTATTGATTACCACTGCGAGGGGAGATGCTCGGGGATGGGTTAGTACAAGTCTCTGGTCCCGGTTCTGGGAGTTGGTGCGAACGGCGAACGGCGAACGGTCCTTGCCGCTAACTCGGCTAGTGACTAGTGGGATAAGAAGCACCCCCCTCGGCTTGAGATAGATTATGGGGTGATTTCAAAGCAGGGGTACGCGGTTTTTTTTTTTTTTTTTTTTTCTTCGTTTAGGTTCGCTAAGATTAGTGATGTTTAGCCACCGCCCACTTTATTTGCTGTTATTGAAACACGTAGCGTGCGGAGACTGATGGGATGGCGGATTAGTGCTTCTATTTCATCTATCGAATCCTTCTATCAGGATAACATGTGTCACATATATAGTGTAAAATGTGTAAGTAAAGGAAATGACTAAAGAATGTGATGGACCCGGTTGATTGGTCCTGTGCTTATCACCGAGCGTTTCCGCCAGAAAACTACACCGGGGTCGTGGTGGTCGTGACCGTCGTCTTGACGTGGGGCACGGGGAAACTGCCGGCGGCGTCGAAGTCGATGCTGCGGGCGCTGCTGCTCTCGCTCAGGCTGGGGCTGTGGCGGGTGGCCTCCTCGTCGGCCTCGTTGGTGACGTGGAACTGGCGCTGCTCCCAGATCTCCAGGCGGGTGTCGTGGATGCGCTCGCCGGACTCGGTGCGGTCGATGGTGGAGCGCAGCTGGGACTTGTCGCCGTTGCGGAAGCGCGACAGGTGGATGGTGGAGCTGTCGAAGCGGCTGGTGAACTTGCCCGTCGTCTTGCGGCTGCGCGTGCGGCTGCTGCGGTCGTAGGAGGAGTGGTGCAGGAACCCCTTCAGGTTGAACATGCGCCGGAACAGCGTCCACGTCTGCGGCAGGTTGGCCACGATCACCGCCGTCGCCGCCTCGCGCACGTACCAGTCGACCCACTCGTCGCCGTACGGCTGCGAGATCGAGTAGTACTTCGACAGGATCGAGCACAGGATCACGAACGCCCCCAGCGAGAACACCCCCAGCAGCGTCAGCTTCTTGGTCAGGTTCAGCTTCGCCTTGACCAGCAGCGGCAGCGGGATCGCCATGATCATCAGGTCCGTCGCGACGTTGAGCGCCAGCGAGAGAATCAGGTGGTTGCGGTAGACGGAGCACTGCACGCTCTTCGGGGGCACGCTCCAGTACGCGGAAAACGGGTGGCACCAGCCGCCGAAGAAGAGGATCTCGATCAGCAGGAAGCACACCGCGCAGAACAGGCTGATGCCTTTGACCCATTTGTGCTGCGTCAGGCCCTTGCTGGGATGGGGTTAGTTTGCGCGACCAGAAGGAAGGTTCGGCTGAAGACAGGTCTCACGTCATGGTCGAGTACAGCAGCAGCAGACATGCCTTGCACCCCCAGATTGTCCCCAACCACATCTGTTCCACCACGATGACCATCTTGCTGCCCAGGATGCGATCGGGGATGGTGGCGGGATCGATACTGTCGATCTGGTTCATGGGGATCTCGTTGGTTCCATGCTGGGCGACAAGTATGAGGAAGACCGTGAGTAGTATGTAGAGAATCTAGGGTGCATTAGTGGGTGTTGATGCTTCGAGTTGTCGTACGACCCGCAGATACGTACCACTGTCACCAGCATCACATAGTCCTCGATCTGCAGGTTACGAATCGAACCCACTTGCAAGGCACGGGAGACAAATCGCATGAGTGCTATCCTGTCCGTTAGAACCATCGCACAGACGCATCGTAGTGTTGTAGCATACTGATCAGCAGCACCACTGCAAACCACACCCAGGTGTTCGCACTGGACGTCATCCTGGAGTCCGAGTCCGAGAGGCTGGGTGGGGAGCCTGAAAGCGAAGGCGGTTTAGGTTTCGAGCTCCCTCAATATCCGAGTCATCTGGCTGCTCAGAGTTCAAGAAAGATTGTGAGTGAGTGTCAGCCAGGAACCGTAGGGCTGTCGACTGCCTTTTGTTCCTCACTCCAGGTTCTGACACTTGGGTTCGTGTGTTGGTCTCGTTCGGGGAGAGGGGGTTGCCTCGATCCAGCGAAAATAGTCAACGGGCCTGACGCCACATCGGCGGGTCAACCAATTCTTCAGGTGGCTATCGCAAAGTTTATCATTGCGATGGATTAAACAATTGGAGGGGAGGGGGGGGACAAGCCCCTTCTAAAATGACTCGAGGGACAAGGGACCTTCTGGCTGATAAGAATTGGTGGAAATCAACACGGGCTTCAATGGTGAAGCCAGACC